ACCCGCAAGAAACCCATGCTGGCTATCCCTCAGGATGTTGGCGTCGGCCAGTCCACTAAGGATGGCCTCTTTAATAAACTTTTCTAAGATCTTCCCCGGCATAGAAGTCAGGCTGATCATCCAACCTCCTCTTGAATTTGCCCAAGGTAGGGGCGAGGACCACTTCCCTGGGAAGTTGGTTCCAGATTTTGGCCACCCTAGCTGTAAAAAATTGTCTTTTGATCTCTAACCTAAACCTATTCTCCATCAGCTTATTACCATTGTTCCTCATCACCCCAGGTGGTGCTGGGGAGAAAAGGGCTCTACCTATTTACTGTTGATCTCCCCTGATGAGTTTGTAGGCAGCCACCAGGTCCCCCCTTAGCCTCCTCTTGCCAAGGCTGAACAGGTTCAGGTTCCTCAGTTTCTCCTCACAGGGCCTGTCCTGCTGCCCTCTCACCAAGCGGGTGGCCCTCCTCTGAACCTTCTCCAGGCTGGCCACATCCCTCTTGAAGTGCGGCGCCCAGTATTAGATGCAGTACTCCAACTGCGGCCTAAGAGGTGGTGCTCTCACCTTCCCTGGAAATCTTCAAGAGGAGACTGGATAGGCACCTGGCTGGGGTCTTATGACCCCTGCCACCCCCAGTGCTCCTTCCTGCCCATGGCAGGGGGTCAAACTAGATGATCTGTCTAGGTCCCTTCCGACTCATTGATTCTGTGATTCTGATTCTAACCAAAGTTACATAGAGGGGGAGTATTACCTCTCTGGACTGGCTTGAGATACATCTAGTGAAGCTGCCTGGAGGGGTCTTAGTTCAGCTAAGTCACAGATCATAGTGGAACAGTCTTGCAATGGATGCTGCCTGACCTAATAGTACAAACAGCCTCAGGGAGTTCCTGAATAACTTTGCCTTGTCTGAACAAAATGACAGGATCCCGACCACATCAAGGGTGTGCAGTTTGTTTCCTTTTGACTGGAGTAAGGCTTGGGAAGGAAAAACAGACAAATGCAACTTCTGATTTAAATGAAAGTTGGAGTCTATTTCTGGAAAAATTTCAGGCAAGACCTTGTGGTCACTTTCCCCTCATGGGATGCAGCATGTGGTGGACTAGCCATAAGTGCCTGACTGTCTCCTGCTCCTGGAGGGCTTGTTAATGTAGCTCAGGCCATACTGTGACCCTAGGAAACAGCAGGACCCTGGGCTGAGTGAAATGCATGAAGAAATCTAGCAACATTAGGGTGAGAGAATATAATGTAACCTTGGTAAGCAGATATTGCCAACCAAGGAATAACTCCAGCTTCTTCAGTGGAAGCAGACAGTCAGTTTAACAGGAATCAGGTTCTCAAAATATGGGAAAAGGGACATTTGCTCAGCCCAAATGAGGAATCTTTTGTTTGTTGGACGTATCCATGGTCATGTCTATAGCAGTAAGGGTTAACTCCCTTCCTGAAAGCTGACATGACAACAACAGGAAGCTGTTAGCCATCTTTGTATGTGTGCTAATTGTTGCAATAAAGCCCTTTTGAGACAAACAAGTCTCCCTGCCTTTTCCTGTGCTATGAGATAGCACCATGTCTTTTTACAGAATCCAGAAAGTGCACGGCTGCCTCCCCTGTGACATGCCCGTCTTCACTCATCTCATGGACAGCCAAAGCCAAGTTGTCAGATGTGAACTGCCACTGGGCTCTTCACTGTATAATCATGACATGGTGTCCATGGCCTGCAAGGCAAGGATCGCACGCGGGTCTGTTCTAGGGAGGTGGTGATAGCAGCATACTCGCAGGGGTAGCAAAGGGAAGCTGTGGTAGCAACACACCAGCAGGGGTAATGGTAGCAGTGATACCAGTGGAACAGACAGGCAGTCTCATCCAGTCACTGGGCACTCCCACCAGCTAACCACCCAGTGGGTGCTTTCTGCTGCACTGGGGCAGAAATCCCAGGGAATGTCTGGACACTAGACAAGTGAGGCACAATAGGATGTGTGCTCTTGCTAGACACAGGTCACATACAGAGAAGGTCAGGCCCGTGCCAGATGTGCTATCTGTTCACACCCATAGAGCCCTTCTTGTGTGTGGTCCACTGCTCCCTTTATGTCCTCAGAGAGACAGGGGCGCAAAGGGACTTAAGGCTCAGTGGGCCCTGCTGATCAAAAGAAACTCACACCAGGTATAATGGACTGAAGTGCCGCAGAAGTGGAATCCATGTGGACAATCACCCAAAGAACCACACTGTACTTTAATACACAAAATGTGTCCAAATAGGTCAACTCTACCATGTACATTCAAAACACTAGGTTCTCCAAGAATAATCAGGAGAAAAGGGAACATTCTCAGACTCTAGTCTAAGACCACATCGAGATTTTTTAAATTGAAATATTTGTTGTTTGCTGTTAAAGAAAAAAAATCACTTACAGTCAGGCCGATACCCCACACTTCGAGGAGTTCTTTTCACCAACAAGCTGTCAAAACACCAATATAAAATTGAAATACAGACAAGCAGCAGATCCAAGATGTCAAACTAGGACATAACTGAGGTTAAGTGTGAAGAAGAATAAGGGTCACTAAATTTATCCTACATTCCCTCTCCCCAAGTGATCACAAGGACAGGGTCAACACTTTTGCCTGACTCATAAGTAGCTAACAGTCTAGCTCGATGATTCTTAACTAGGGTGCCAGGGCACCCAACGGTGCCACAAAATGTCCTTTGAAGGGTGTCCCGAGGTGTGCGGAGATATGCCCCATGCAAGGAGATAAGCAAATAGGCGCAGGCCCAGGCTCAGTTCCTGCCAGGCAGATCCCCCACCCTCACTGCCCAGCCCCTCAGCAAGGAGGTAAATACTGTAATAAATACGTTAATTGTTTAAAAGGGGTGCCACTCAATTCACAAATCTTATAGCCTTAAGACTAAAAAGGTTGAGAACCACTGGTCTAGCTAACGGACAAGAGGCACAGACTAAAAAATTCCCCCAGACGTTATAGTTAAACGCAGTCCTCTTGTGAAAAGTGATTCTGGAAAGTGACATAATGAGGTTTCATATTTGATTTGGAAACCTCAGGTATCTTCATTTAAAAGAAAAAATGGCTTTTTCAGCTCCATCTGCAAACTGAGCCTGGAATCTGACAACCTATCTGGGTTCTTAAATGTCCTGTAAAAAGCTTTCTGTCCTCTCTCTGAACTGCAGGGGTCCTTGCCCTTTAGTGAGCGTTTTACAGTCATATCTGTATTCCCTTATACATGCAGTAAGATAGCATCATCCCCTTATGGAAAGATGGCAGGGAGAGAAAGAAAAATCTGACATGGTCAGTGTGGATGCTCTTATTCTGGAACCTGAGGGCCTCATTTTGAATTAGACTGATCCACATCTATCCATGAAAAAAACTATCCATATAGGAGTTAACCAAAAACTGCTGCTTCAAAATAAATCGCTGGTTAGGCAAACCTTACCTTCATCTTTTTTTCTGCACTTACTATTCAAGAAGGTGTTCACTCATCAGTTTTCACAGTTTGTTAAGTTTCAGACATTTGAGTTTATGGCAATTTTGACTGGATGACATTGTGTTGGGGCAGTTACCAGTCTGGGGATATGACCAAACCATCTAGAACCTACATTAGCACAAGTCAGAACTCCCCCACTAAAGCTACATCATACAGCAGTGAAAAACCAGGCAAGTCTTTACAAGTATAAGAATGCAAAACTTCTTTGCACTTATAGCATCTCAAGGATTTTCATATTCATTCCTTTGATCTTAAACACATTTTCAGTGTAACAAAAAAGTTCTCACTTGCATGTTCTATTTTATTTGCATGATGCAAAGTGCAACAGCAGGGGCCCTTTTCAAAGGGCCACAATGACAAGTCACCCTTTGTAACATTCTTCAAATTCCTCTGTGTGCTACTAGACCTTCAATAAGGAGTCTGCAACAATCTCACCTTCCACAGGTCACCTCAAGATCACTGGCAAAAAGCTGCTCAAGCCACCCCTAACAACTGTTTCCATAATATTATGGCAACAAAACCTGATTAGGTGCAATTCCAAGCCCTGTTTATCTATAATTCATAGCAGCCAATACATCGTCATTGTGCAGTGTACATAACATTCACAGCGTGGCAGTGTAAGAGAACAGGTTATTAAGAATATAAGAAGTATTACTCTTGGCAAATACGAGTTAGTCCTATTAAACTGTCCTCAGTATCGCTGGTCCTGGTTTATGTTTTTTGTTAAGTGTTATAAAAAATTTGGCAAAAAATTAACAAAGACTAACAATCAGCCCAGCAGTACTCCCCACTAGGGAACTTCACAGTGTAGTGGGTACATCCTGGCTCCATCCACCTATGCCAGGCCAGTAGCAACATTAGTATTTGCCAATTATTTCCCCGGTCTTGCAGTCTGATCCATGGAGGAGCAGACTTGTGTATAAAAAGTTTTTTTTAATCACATTGGTGCAAATTAGTGTGAATTAGCGGTGCATGTGGAAGAGGCAAGCCATGCTGGACTAGTTAGCTAAGGGAAATACTGGCAATAAATTACAAATGCTGGACAGGGAAAAAAGGATCCCAGAAAACCTAAGTCTGTATAAAGTAAACAGATTTGTATGAATAATAATAAAAATAATAAAAAAAAAATCCCTTCAAAATCTCTCTCTTATAGAAAGGATTTCAAACACTGGTAAACTCCAGTCAGACTTCAGAGGGAAATCTCACTTTACAGATGAAAAGGAGCTTCACATAAGTAAGCCTTTAAAAAAAAAATCTCAGAATGAAAAGCACAAAGAATATAAATCTTTGTACCAATCATATACACAGACTCCCTCTTTCTGACTACAGAAATCCTTTTGTAACAGAAGTACAAAAATATGAAATGTGCTCTTGCCAACCTAAATAAATACACATCTTTATAACCAACCAAATGCAGACAGCAAACAAGTACAGTACTGTAAAAATGGCTTGAGCTTATACATATACACACCTGTGTAATTTATAATGTTTACAGCTCTTAAAAATTAAAATATAGTACAAGTTGTGATACTTAGAACTTACCTGGCTACTTTCACCATCTTTGGGTTATACTGCTTAAGCAAAGACAGCAGCGTTTTCATTGTTTTACCAGTATCAATTATATCCTGTTAATAAAAAGAATGCAAGAAAGCTATTTAGGCTGTTCAAGTAGTATTTTCATATGCTAACAAAAATCTCCTGCAATACTGAGTTAAAATATGAATATAATATAAGAATAAGTAAAAAAAAAAAAATCAATGTTCTTCCTGCACAAATATGGATGCATTACAAAATGTCATGTTGTATTGATAGGGCAATACTTTATAATGGTTAATCACTTTCAACAATGTTTTTGATCACCATTAATAGCAACTATAATGGAAGCAATTATTGAACTGTTATCTACTGAACTCTGCAAGCATTCATAGCTTATATTTTTTGTGTCTAAGGCTACCATTGCAACTTATTTAATATCTAATCTCTATTTTTAATGTAGTTGCTGAGGAGGATGCAAAAGCAATGGAGACCAAATATGTAAATTCATTAAAATATTTAAGGGAAAAGGAATATTATTTACCATCCTACATGCAAGCTTGAGTCAAAAAAATTACATATGTAATTTGAGTATTCCATGTTAAGGGTCAACTTCAGTATAAAAAGTCATATTATGTAGTCAGTTCTGATACCTCATTCTTAATTCCAAGGACATACGGGAAATCATCAACATACAGGTTGCAAGTCAAAGCATCAGAGTTGCTTTGAATTTCCTACTCCAGGTTAGATTAACCCCAAACTGTTAGAGGAACATTCTTCTCCTTGACCCAAAATCCAATCTATACATATTTAAAGTAGCAGGTAAGACTTATTGAATCTTATCTTCACATGACTTCCCACTACATCACCCCAACTACTTGCAGGTTATGCCAGCTTGTGTCTGAAAATGTAGAAAATCTGAGTAGCCTGGATCTTAACCCAAGGCTAAGCAAAGGCTGTGGGTGTGAACACTACCTAGACTGATGCATAGACACAGGAAATGCTACCAAGTCTTCATTTCAACATCTTCCAAAGTCAAAACAGAAATCAGCTCCATCTATGATCTGCCAGTTTAATTCTGTAGTTACCTGAGGCAAATCTCAGTTTTCTAGAGACTTTTTGCCTAGCCAAGGAGACATTTTAGGAAAAGCTGTGTTGTGGTGCGCCAGAGGACAGTGCTACAGCAAACTTCATTTTATTACTTGATTGACGGCCAGAATGGTGATCTGTTACTGGGCTCATATTTGACAAGAATCGCCATGTAGATGAATCACTGAACTGATGAGAAACTAATTTGTTTAGCTGGTACCTGAAAGATTTAATTGTAATTGAAACAGAACAGAAACAGTTCAACACACCGCCTGTCTGAAGTAAAATACACTTCGGAGGAGACATTAATCATGTGTGACTGTAGTATATTTGTGCAAACAAAAGGAGGGAAGTAAAACTTGTACATATATATTAGGGTGGTGAGAGCATGAGAAAATTTTGTACAACTTAGAGCCTTCTTGAATCAAAGCATGATGACTGCATAAAAACTTAGGTCCCCAATACTGGAAGTCTAGCGTGACAAAAGGAAGTGTCACTCTCTCTTTTGCCTGGAGGGATGAGAATCTGGAAATCTCCATCACTTATTTATTTATGTAAATGGCCCAGTTAATATAATTTTAGGCCTTGTTTAATTAATTCTGTTTACTTGTATATTGCCACTGCTTCTCTGCCCTAAGAATATCAACCTCATTCAAGAACACTATTTACAAAACACTAACAATTACAATATTTACTGGAGAAAAACAAGTTTCATCAAGAGAGGTCCCAATGTAGGAACTACCCTATCAGCTAGCAAGGCAGACAGAATTGTATTCTTCCCAAAAAGGGTTAACTGCTTGATGATGAACACAGCTGCCATCAAGTGTGTGCAGGAAGGGGAGAGGGAGAGGTGAGGGTATTCTGCCCAGAGTAGGAGATGAACATGTTAGAGATCACTTAGATAAGTTAGCTATTTTCAGATCAGTAAGGTTGGATGCAATCCATCCTACAGTACTCAAGGAAATGGCTGAAGCAATGGCAGAGCCACGATTCCACACAGGTCAAATCAGGCCCCAGAAGACTGGAAAAGGGCAAATATAGTTTCCATGTTTTAAAAAAGGAAGCAAGGAGGACACAGGGAAGTACAGACTTGCTAGTCTAACTCTGATACACAGAGAGATACTGGAGCACCAAGAGTCTATTTATAATGATGGATAAGATAAGATGATGATGATAAAAACACAAAGAAACAGTCAACCCAAATTTGTCAAAAACAAATCATGCCTGACCAACCTGATTTCCTTCTACACCAAGCTGACCGGAGAAGAACAAAAGTTGGGATATCCTTTGTCTTAAATAAGGACATGTCCTTATATAGTCATCCTAAAGAAAGTCAACTCCTAATAAGTTATCTAACAAAACGTGGTTTAAATTCAGCTACAATAAGAAGGTTGCATAACTGCTTGGTGAACTGTGTTCAAAGTGTAGTCATCAATAACACAGTATCTAACTGGGAGGAAGCATCAGAAGTGGGGTTCTACACAGGTCTGTCCTGGGTCCAGCATTGTTCAACACCTTCATTAATGACCTGAAGGATGGAAATGAGCATACATGCACTAAATTTGCAGATGATATCAAACTAGCTAAAACAGGGGGCATTTTAGAGGGTACAATTACAATTCAAAATGGCCTTGATACTTTTAGAAAAATTGTCTGAAATAATTTATATAAGGATGAGTCCCAAGCACTGCACTTAAGAAGGAATAATCAAAGGCACAAATATACAATGAAGAATGATTGGCTAGGCTGCAGTAATGAAGAATAAAATCTATGGGTTACAGTGGAATGCAAACTGCATAGGAGTCAAGAGCGAAATGTTGCAAAGAAGGCTAATGGCATCCTGGGATGTATCAACAGAAGTGTTACATGGAAGTGGCAGGAAGCAATTCTTCCACTCTATTCAGCACTGGCAAGGCCTCACCTGACTGACTGGGTCCAGCTTCGAGCATTACACTTCATGAAAGATGTGAACAAACTGGCAAGACTCCAGAGGAGAGCGACAAGAATGATTAGTGGTCTAGAAAACAAGACATACGCAGAAAGGGTGGAAAACTGGGATTATTTCCCAAAGGAAAGAGAAGATTAGGGGAGGAGGGAAGGCATGGACAGTCTTCAAAAGAGCTGTTATAAAGAGTATGGTGATTGACTGCTTGCTGTGTTCACACCTGACAGGACCAGAAGTAATGGTCTTAACTTACAACAAGATAGATTTAATTTACATATAGGAAGAATGGCTTAACTCTGAGGATGGGTTAGCTCTGGAACACATCACATAAAAAAAGAGGCTGTGCAATCTCCATTACTTGATGCTTTTAGGTGTAGGTTAGATGAATATCCATCTGGATGGTTTAGAAAGGGCTGATTCTGCCTTGGGCTTGACTACCTGACACCTGAGGTCCCTTCCAGCCCTAATTTGTCTCTGATTCCATGTAAATACCCAAAGGAATATGATGAACCACTGTGGAAGGCAAAAGTATTTATACAATGAAGATAAGCTGACATTTTATTTTTACCTCAGAAATTATGCATGGGGACACTGGGCACAGTTTAATATTTTATGATTTTAAAATATAAGGAATCGTTTTCTCTAAAGCTACAGCATTTTTATTTCTCGTACTGTAGTTGCAATGCTGAACAAAGGTGTTTAATTTAACTTTGTTCTGTATACAAAGCCATATGCTTAAATAAGGTCCCAGCAAACTGAAGGTAACAACTACAAAGAGTAGAACATTCTACCAGGACATTTCCTCCTACAGCTTAGCATGTTATCCCTAGAGAAAGGGTCAACTTGAAAATTCAGCTCTGGATTTTGCATCTGCTTAAATCTGGGGGTGCAGCTCGCCACAAAAGTTAAGGGCCATTTGTAAGATAAGGACAGGATGCAGGTTTCAAAGCCTCCTCCCTGTCCCCACAGAACATGGAGCATTCAGATTCAAGGTGAACCCATGCTAGAGCATTATGAAAAATCATACAACAGAAATCCCAAGTGAAGCATAATACTTACTTCTACAATCAAGACATTCTAGTGGGGGGGAAAAAAAAGATAAGAATCAATTAGTATTTAGTTGGAAAGTATGCTGATAAACTCTTATGCTAGCAATGTAATGAAATGTTTATACCACTACTTATATAGTTGCACATTTTCAAAAGTTGAAAACCTGAATAAATCTGTAAACTTCCTGCAACCAATGTGTGTGTTATGCTACACTTTGCAAATTATATTAGGTTAACATTTCTAATATGATGGCCAGACAAATTTCAAAGACAACTGTCTACCACATGCTGAATATTAATTGGTCTGTAAAATTCTTAGACTGCAAAGTTCTAACATAAGCTTGTTCTCATCTGATGATAAGAACAAGAAACAATCCACACACATTTTGCTTGTTTTTAATGAAATAATCTTATCACAATGGCACTTTTTAGGTGTTCAGAATTCTGCCATTAGTATCTCCTCTATATTATACTCTGGAATGTACATCTTACAGACTGATTATATGCCTGGTATTATGTTTTATTATATGGCAGTAGGCAACCCCCCCAGCACTGGTGCCACAGTGTGGCATGAAAAGGCAGACAGTGGGAAAGGGCCGGAGCTGCACTGCCACAACAAGGCTCGGGCCCCTCACAGCTCCCCAGACATCTGCCCCTGGCACGCCAACATCTTAAAAAGTCAAGGTTTTCAGTGTTTTTGGCACTCTGCCTAAAAAACGCTGCCCTCCCCTGTTACATGGTTTTATATGACTGGTTATATTTTGTTTATCTTTCACTTTACTATCAAATATAAAATAGTGAAGATAACTAATCCATACAAGACTATTCCTTTTGGACAGTTTAAAAAAATACTAGTGCAGACACCAAATAACTGCTCAGTTACAGAACTATTACTATGACAATAATACTAATATTGGCAATTTCACAAATCAGCACTGTAGAGGCAACCCCTGCTTAGCGCTCTTTATTGGTTCCTGAAAAATGGAGCGTTAAGCAAAACGAGTGTTAAGCGAAACCGAAAGTATTTGATGACAAGGTGGAGAACACAATTATTTTTAATGACCCAAGATGGCGACCACGAGTGTTATAATGAAGCTTGCTGACTGCTAAGTGAAATCAGGTATCAATTTCAAATGAGCATTATAGCAAAATAGCACTAAGTGAAACAGCGATAAGCAGGTGTTGCTTGTAAATTAACACAGTAACTGCTTCACAACTTATACTTACAGCATATTTGGTAATTACTGACCAGATACACAATCTAAAAGAAGTAGCTGTGACATATGCTACAAACACAGATACTTCTTGTAATAGAAGACAGAGTCTGCATAAACTTAAGTACTGGCCATAATCTCTGTCATGGGCAGGAAACACAGAACTGTTCTTTCCAACGTATCAGAACATAAAAGCAAGCCAAAGGTTGCCACTTAGCTTTACCTTGATTAGCTAGACCATTATCACTATGCAAATGAATACAAAGGATCATAGGCTGTGGGCTGCTAAATTCACAGAGTTAGAAAAATAATAGAGCAACTTAAAAATTTGTAGACACTTACTTCTTTTGTTATGCAGTAAGAGACATACCTTTCCAGTCAAGGTTGAGAGATCATCCCCACCAATTACTTTTATATCTCCAGTTGACTGATCATTCTAGTTACAAAGTGAGAAAAACAAAGGATTAGTCTGACCACATTAAAATATCTATTTTTCCAATTAGCTATCCAAACTATAAACCATGGCATCATCCTGAAAATGTGACAGGAAAACACACAAAAACATGCTTTGTAGGACAGGGCATCTAAAAGCTTATCTGTTAAATGGCATGTTACAGGTCATTACATTTAGATTTAAGTTAATGTTTCTGGTCAAACAATGTTTGAGATTTATATATCAAATATAAAGAAACCTCTTCTGCGTGGGAGGCGTCTGGTACTCCAACATTTTGGAGCTTCTGGTGGAAGCCTGCAGGAGTTGGGAAGAAATTTTTCCCCCTTTGTATGAATTAATTTTAGGTTGTTGGAAGTTTTTTCCACCTTCCTCTAAAAACACTGGACATTGGCAACAGCTAGCAATGGAAGTTTGACTGGGACTCATAGAATCATAGAAAGTCAGGGTTGGAAGGGACCTCAGGAGGTCACATCTAGTCCAACCCCCTGCTCAAAGAAGAATCAGCCCCAACTACATCGTCCCGGCCAGGGCTTTGTCTACCTGGGTCTTAAAAGCCTCCAAGGATGGAGACTCCACCACCCCTCTGGGTAACCTGGTCCAGTGCTTTACTTCCCTCCTGGTGAGAGAGTTTTTCCTAATATCCAACCTCAACTTCCCTTGCTGCAACTTGAGCCCATTGCTCCTTGTCCTGTCATCTGCCCCCACTGAGACCAGCCCAGCTCCACCCTCTTTTGAACCCCTCTTCACATAGTTGAAGGCTGCTATTAAGTCCCCTCTCAGTCTCCTTTTCTCTAGACTAAATAAGCCCAGTTCCCTCAATATTTTCTCATAAGTCAAGGACTCATGAGTGCTCATCCAAGGACTCATGGTCATCCTCATAATATTTAGAAACTTCTCAGGTACCTGGCTGGAGAATCTCGCCCATATGCTTAGGGTCAAACCAATCACCACATCTGGGGTCTGGAAGTTTAACAAAGGACCATGGGTTGTTTTGCATTCCTCTGTAGACCAGGTCATAGTCTTCTTCCTAGAGTCACCTCAATATATTTTCAACTAGCAAGTTCCCTGCCATGGCAGTGACAAGGTTTGGCAGCATTGTCTTTTTCTCTGTGGTCCACATTTGTAGCACACTATAGGGTACATTTTTCTCAGGGTGTTTAATGTTTGTGCTTTACAAGAATAATCAGAGAGGATGTTTTTGGGTAAATCGTTGCCAGTGCACAGGGGACTAGCATTCTAGTCCTATTCCAGAAAACATCTGTGTAAGTCTATACATCCTGCATCACATGCTGGCATCAAAATAGGGACACATGTAGCATGGTAGGGGTTGACTAAGGATGCTGACATAAACAAGCAAAAACCATAGGTTCCTAATCTTCATGCTGCCATAGGATGACAGTTGTCATTTGAAACTGTATTCATTTGAAACTGGCTATTCATAAAATATTACTCTTTTTAAAAAAAAAGTAAGAATTCAAGTCAGCAAACAGCTCAAACACAATTTATGACCTCGCCTAGTTACAATGTTTAACATCATTCACAATTAATGTAAACTCCAGGAAGACCTATGGGAGCTAGGAGAATTTCCCTGCATTGCAACAGTTTCTAATCAAATTACTCTTGACAATGATTTCACCACAACAGACAATACAGCCCTACCAAAGCAATGCAGAATTTTGTTTCAATGAAGAGAAGCTTCTCATACAAGCTGCAAGTGGGCAGTTCTGGGATAATTTGCAACTCAGCAGGAAAACTGCCATGTCCCTCAAGGACATCAGTGTTTTATTTATTGGCATCCAACTGACTTTGATAATCCTAACTTTTCTCACAGTCAACATTAAGTTTGAGTTATTCTCATTACTATATAAACTAAAAACAGCCCCCCCCAAAAAACAAACCAAAAACCAACAGACTTCTCATAATCCCTTATTTTAATTTCTGCTTGTTTAAGGTAACCATCCTTTATGGAAGCCCTGTCCCCCATCACCTACTTACCATTTATTTCCAATTGTACTTTTTATTATGTTTCTGGTAATATAACCCCTGTTATCTTGTACTAAACCCCATATAAACATATAGAAAAAGGTGCACACAACAAATAGATGAAAGAACACAGGTGATAGACAGATTGTAATAATTTCCCTCTTTCTTTTGTTTTTTGATAGGACAGAGTCAGCTCTTACCTACACTTATACATCCTGCATTACATGCTGCCATCATAAAGTAGGAATACTCTCACACATGAATATCGAGGAGATACAAATGCTAGAGTGTGAAGGGAATTGCTTAGTGACCCACACCAAGTTAGTTAACTAGGAATATTATGGCGAAGTTAAGAAAGAGAAAACATATTAAACAAATTCTGAAATTATTGAACTCTTGAGTATTCTCCTAAAAAAATGCATTAATAGCTGGAGATATGTAAACATCAGACTGAACAATGTATTCAGTCTTTTCCACTCTAACTTCTACAGTACAGTCTTGCACAAGTAAAACCAGGAGTAATCTCTATTTTCAATTATTTTGTTAGCATTATGTCTTCATATATTTTTTAAAGTCATGCTAGCCCCTTGAACAGTAACCTATTTAGTAAATAAGGGTAATTCTTTTTTTAAGAAATCCCAGTCACTGTTTTAATACTTTCATAACTGACCCGAGCCACACCTGCCCAACAAAGACTGCCGTTTTTTTAAACTAATCTAAAAAAAGATGTCTGAGCTGATGTGACAGGAGGCGGCGAGAGAGCGAACGAGAGACAGACTATGCATTCTAGGAGTGAATGTTTGAAAAAGTGGTTAAACAAACCATAAAAATGTGTTTAATTTATAGCATGTAAAAAAATTAAATACTTCACATGATGAGAAGCATTTCCTGCATTTACCCCACTAGATTATTAAGATAAGAGCTGCTTTTTAATTGTCAGGAGGTTTTTTAACTTACGTTAGTACCTTTTACTCTTGCTTTCTTCTAGAACCATAATAATAATCCTCTCATGTATTCCTATGGTAAAGATTCCATTTTTCTTCCACAAAAAGATGACAAACATACCTCATTAAAAAAAAAGGCTGATGGGGGGAAAAAGTATTTGTTCTTCAACTATCGTGTGTGTGCAATTAAAATATTTTTAGTATATAAAAACAAGCCACTCTAATCCATGCTTTGACACCTAGAGTGCATTTTTAAGTGCACCTTTTAAAAGTCTTAATTTTGCCTTCCGAAGTTGTTGCATTGCAAGAAACAAATACCATCATCTTTTGTGGTTTCCCTACATCTTCTCTTACTGCAATTTCTACATTTCAGGGTCACAAGGATACTGGTGAGCATCAAAAGCTGAGCTGAAACTCCCCCCCAGAACGGCACCCGGCACAATCACAAGGTCAAATTCCTGAAGTCAGAACTGTCAGGCGCAAAACAGGACCCTGTACCCCAGGAAAAAATATCACAAAGTGCAGACAGGAATGTATAGCCAAAGTATGATGACAAGGAGACAGCACCAACAGTTCACCACCCACTCTGAGACCTGTCCTTTCACTACACAGATGCCTACATTTCTGAATGCTAAGTACAAGCAGTAACTAGCACGTATACCTATACTTCTATATGTATACTAGATTTTCTAAACAGCCTGTGAATAACAAAAAAACTAAAGCTTTTTCAACTCTAACAGGAACGGCATCTAGTTTCAAACAACAGACCAATTTTCATGAATAGCAAGACAGAAGTCACTAGCAAATGGCCAGAAATTACTTTAACAGAAACTGTCAGATGTAATCAGGACAGTCCTCATGACACTGAGCAGACTGGATACAGTTTGAAATCCATTTTAACTTTCAGGCTGAACCCCTTTCTCTGGCTCACAGTCTTCCTGAAATCCTCACTGCTGCTCTCCATACACCCTCATCAAGTATCCCTGTTTTAGCTCTTCTTCATGTCTATGCAAGCAACTTCTTCTCATTTCTAAATTTAAAAATGGCAGACTGACAAAGCAATTCTTGCTAACATACACAAATAAAATGGGCATGTTATACACAAGCGTGGGGCTTGTTCATAAGTTCTATCTTCTAATTTCATAAAGTCACAGCCAGCTCCTTCTAGAACCATTCATTTGTAAAAAAAAAAAAAACAACCCAAAAACAAAGCTGGGAAAGCAGCAGCTATAAATGAAGTTTAATTATATTTTAACTGCCTCTGGTTTAGAGAGAACCATTTCTGAATGCAATTACAGTATGAGCTTGCCCTTCTGACATTGTAGCTTTCTAAACATTAACATGAGCAGTGGGTATTTTCTTGCATGCAATACACACCTTTTCGCAAAAAAAACAGTTGTTGGAAATTGGCATATATTATATGCCAGGAAGTACAGTATCAGCAGCTTCTGGGCAAAAGCGAAAGTAAAGTCTGCACATAATCCACAGGAAGCAAAATGATTAGCAGGCACAGATCCCTAGCTGCTACTACTCAGGGCTCTGGTATTCACTATATTTAAGATGCAATTAAAGTGTTAATCGATCCAGAAATAGTAAACCAGCCATATGTTAAAGCCAATTTATCGCATGTGATACTATAGGAAACAAGCCACAAAGATACTCCACATACACTAACATCTTTGTGGCTTATTTGTACTACGTTGCTAATCCATGACAGATCCTAATGCTCAGATGAGTGTATAGATCTGGCATGGGGCAGCCCCGGAGTCTGGAACACAGTCGTTCCTTACCCAAATGGTGAGACTGAGCTGGGATAGCACTGGGTCCTAGACCAGGCACCCCCACCTGATCCTCAAAGGTAGATGCAGGGGGAGTGCTGTGAGCCTGACATCAGGGACTTTCTCTTCAATCTGGGGTTCAGTGCATCCCAAACCTTTTTAAAAAATAAAGCGTGCAGCTGGGAGCCCCACCTGTATACCTGCTTGTTTCAGTTCCCAGGGCACTTGTGGAACCAGCAGCTGGGAAGATGGGATCAAATCCGATCATGCCATTAAATGAACATATGCCAGGGGCCTTAGCGGATCAAAAGGAAAGATCTTTTTTTCTTCTTCTTGCGCCTTTCAAAACCAAGATTCATGTCTTATTCTGGGGCATGCTGTATGCGAGCAAAACATACTATATGGTCCAGCTGTTTTGCTTATGTAATCACAGCACTTCTAACAATATAGATTTTTATCATCAGGATGAAAAGATATCAGGAAGCCTGTATGGCTTAGTAACATTATCCAAGGACTTCAACGGCAGCACTGTAAGCTCTTTTTCCAACTGCATTAGTTCATTTTTTGAACACAGATGAGTTCTATTAACTAATGCGCCCTAGTTGCTCCATCATGAAATTGCATGGTTATCATTTTGTAAAGCATTTTGAGAACCTAGGATAAGAAAGTACTCCAAAACCTGTGCGGTATTAACAATGATAATTTTAGTCAACTCATTCTGTGGATGTCCCTGTTAAGACAATCTTATGGAGACTACAATGTTTAATAGTCCAAAGAACCCTAGCCTGAACGTTAATAACCATCTTACTGTACTTGCAAAAAGGTGACATGCTAGTAAGTTTTGGTAATTACTACCATGCCTCAGCTGATTAGACTTCTATACTGATCTAAAATAGAAATCATCCTTTCATTTGCCTGATGATAAAAACTCCCCTAAACACACAACGCATGAAGAAAGCATACCGTCCAAAAAGCAGTCTCTATATTTCCCTTCCTTTATTCATTACTATGAACATTTTTTATTAAATCTTGCTCCTTATTCCCTTCTTAAAGGCATGAGGATTTGTGACAGGGGACTCTAATTACGGAGGAAATAGGCAAAACCGGAAGAGAACAGGCAAAAGAAATTGATGTAAATACGAGTAATACACAAGAAAAAGGAATACAGAATACACACCATGACTGCAGCCCTGTCTTCTAAAAAACATTTTTGTCAGACATTCGCCGACTAGGCTCATCACCAAGTCTCCCACTTAGCTATGGGTTTGTTTGTTTTTTTAAATTAATCACAGAAGTTCCCCCAAAATCTCTCTTGCAGTGTAAAATACAGTGTGCTCAGCCTAGAGGAGGTAGGGATCAACACTGCCTGTTCTTTAATATGCCCCTCCTGTAATTAAGATAGTCAGAGGTTTACTGTGGCTTTTACAGGTACAGCATGTGCGTGTAGTGGTTTGGTGCTTACAGGAGGAAGAGGCCAAATTGTTCCATGAGGACCAGGAGACAAATATTTAAAGCAGTTCTCACACAGTACCTTTAAATATGTACTGCACACACAACCCCTTCAGGGTGTGTAACTCAACAGGCTGCAGCATACGACCCTTTCATACCCAGCATAAGTGTGCATGAAGAAAAACTAGAGAGGGCAACTTGTGCTACCCCCACCCCACACACTGCACACGGGCAAACCAGAATGCAGCTCGTGGCTTTGCCCTTTTTAAAGTGAGATTTTACCTGGTCAGGCAACACCACCAAACAAATCAGAGGCCTTCTACTGTCAAAACTAACTCTGCAAATAACTGAATCACTGGTTTCATGGTCTAATCAAATGAATGAATAAGTTGTTTCCAATGTAGTAATCTCCATATTTTTTTCCTACTTGTGCACTGGAACAGGAACTCTTCCAAGACTCAGCTGTTTTGGGCTGCTAATTGGAATGTGAAGATCCTTGGACATGCAGCTAATAGTAAAACCTCATGAAATAATCTATTTTAAAATTATTAGAAAGTCTTATTTCATTACCTTATTTCTAGACTACACGAGTCCCATGGAATACATCCAAAAAGCAGCCTTTCGAGTTTACTTCAAGGAAACAGAGTGGGCACTTGCTAAATCAGGAAACATGTAACATTTGTGTACATGAATTCTTTCCTTTAACCTACATAGCTTTCTCTCATGCTCATGAGGTTTAAGCATTCCTTCATATTTCTGAATATTCTGCAACTTAAATGCTTAAGTTTGGGTGGAAATTAATCTTTTACCAAGAAAAACAAAACCAAACCAACCTCCATCTATTCTCCAAAGGGTAGCAGGCTCCTCATCAACCACTGATTGTAAATTAAAGCTGAACCTTTTTTTTCAATGCTAAAAATGCCATTAGTTTTAGTTACATTTGGTTAGCTGAGATAAATAAAAGAATAAAAGGGCTAGTAGTGCCATCATCCTGCCTATATTCAGTGCAAGTAAATTAGAATTCCGATGCAAATATATTTGCAGTTTTCAGATTTCCCCTACTCAGCAAGTGGTGTCCTACCAGTAGGCAAGTTCCTGCCAGTGATACCTTGTAGCACGTAGGAATCCCCTTCCCCTTAACCTGCCCCCACTGCCCCTACCTGCCTTAGAACAATAGCACTGGATTGTGGATGTGGGGAGAGAAAGAATGGTTGGGAAGTTGAGAATTACAAACAGGGCTGCTTTGCTTTGAAAGAGGATTTTAGTGGCCTGGGAAGGGAGAAAGAAAGTGTGTGCACATAACAGGAAATATATTTTGTAACATGACATATGAACAAGCAACCATGTGATTTTATTTCTCCAATTGTCCTCCACTAGCTTCCTGTTTCCCCACCGGTCACAGCTGTCACTATGCATTATATGAGACTATCATTTCCTCTCTTTTTCTACATTACCTAGCACATTTCAGCATGAATAATAGTTTAAAACAACATCATTTAATAATTTCAATGTATTCAATTTTCTATCAAAGCATGAAGTAAACTTACACAATAACTCTTCAACCTGATGAAGTCTACCGTCATGGGTATAGATTTATCACTATTTCTGTTCAGTGCTTTGATATAGTCTAGTAAGTCAGCAAAAAACTTGTAGCCACCCTTGAGTACACAAAGAGCTACAATATGATGTCCTCCCATGCCCTTCATGATTTCTCGTGCCAATCTTTCTGTCCTGTAGGGAGAAAACAAACCAACATTAATTACTTATCACAATGCATCTCAAGGCCGTGTCCAGACAAGCATGGAAGTTTGGTTCCCTGGGAACAATTAGTGGTGGCTCACCTTGCATTGCCGCTAGCTGTCCCTGGGGAACGCCTATGCCACACACATTCTGGTGTGAGGCAGATTACCCTGGATGGGGAAAGAGAGACTGGGGCTAGCACTGGGTTCACCCCAGCAACCTTAGCTGGGGTCTTGGGGGCCTCCCAGGGCTCCAGCAGCGGCAATCCTGCCGCTCACAGCCTGGCAAGCAGCCACAGCATGGCTCTAGCTGGCCAGGCTCTGGTTTTGAGCGGTGCTACTCCCCTTTTTTTTTTTTTGCATGTTTTTTTTTGACCTCTGGATATCCAGGGGTCAACCCCCTCCTCCCCCCTCCTTGCACTGCTTTCTTACAGCATGGAGAACAGCTAAACATGCTGTATGTGGCACTGCAGACATATCTGCAGTGCCATACTGCACAGCCGTGCTCATCTGGACAAGGCCCATTTGTTTTTTACAGCAGTATGTTTTGGTATTGCAGCCAGCAGTGGGAAATACACATGCTGCACTAGGACACATATCTTCCTTGCTCAATGAAATATTTGCCTAGCACTTCTCAGCCAATTTTACTGTTTACTGGTCAGTAAGGTTTTTGCTTTTCTCACTTCTCAAGGTTAATCTAACAGTAACATTGCCACACACTGCCAGCTTTATAGGTCACAATCAGCCAAAACAAATCTGAATCTTTGCTCAGTTAGTAGATTGTTCACATGTGGATTTTGAAAAAAAAAAGGTATGTTCTGCAGCTTTTCTGTTCCCCAGGCACAGAGAAATATAAATTTGTTTACCAGTAGAACAAGCAGAGAGAGCCATCCTAGACAAATCAGGCAAAAGACAGGCATTTCTCAGATTGAAAACTAGTGCCTTACTTTTATGCCAGGTTAAAACACAAGTGACAACAACCCTGCATTAACTCCAAAACCAAGGATAATACACAGACACCAGAAACCAGCTGACTGACATGTTACTTGTACCAGTCATCTTTCAGAAGGAAATCATTTCTAAATTTAGCTTCTCATTTATTTAGAAAAGCATGGTGTAATATTTATAGCATATTCAGCCAGCCACAGACTTGTCAGGAAGAGGCTACAACTAGAGCCCTTCATTTAATAAAATACTACTCAAATGCTATGTATTTTAGTCAGCTTTTAACTTAGATTGGAAATCCATAAGTAGCTCTCATAATACCATGATATAAATACGTTAATGCTGGAAATAAATATTTTAAAATACCCTATTAAGTTAGTGGGAATTCACTACCACAACATGAACTCTAGGGCTATCCTTATCTCCACTTCAAAAAGATATTTTCGTAAGTACAAAGGTAGTTTTTGAAAGATGTTTTCTTTGGTAATCACTCCACTGAAACTGCTTTTCCCTCTGAGAACAGAAATAAAAAATACAAGTTTTATGGGTTTGGGCTGTAGAGAAGCAATAGACCAGTATTTTGCAAAGGCTGATGATGCATTTCCCAGAAAGGAAGAGAACTTAAGATATTAAGTTTTTCTAACTTGAAAGTACGGAAACAATGTCTCCAGTGTCCTTGGATTAATCTTGCGATAAAATTTAAAAAGCTATAATGCTTTTCATTTGCAATCTAAACTAAGGTGCCTTTTTGGTTAGTTCTTAAGACTAATACAGTGTCTCCTAACAGCTATCCTGTAGTTTTGAAAATGACCACAGCAGCAAATGTGCCAATTCTTAGAGGCTTGTGTGTGAAAGAGAGTTAATTAGTGCTTGCACTTCTTTCTAGAAGACAGCATGTGGCTCCTAATTAAAAATTTTCCACAAGGTCCTCTATTTAGATCATCATCAAATAGCAAAAAGTTACAAGGCTTAACAAAAACTGTTACTGGCAGACATTTTTCCCAATCTCATGAAATTAAGTTGGCATAACACATTATTTGAAGTCAAACTAACCTGTCCATAATAAGCCCATGAGGAATATAGACTTTTTCCAAGTCATCTGCATAATGTTTAGGTATGCAGAACAAGTCCAAGTCATAACCTTGTTCATCGTCGCCAATCTGAAATGAAAATATGAAAGATGAGAGTTGGTACAATTAACAGGTCTTTTCTGAGGAAACCATGACCTAGAACAATTCAGGTATGACAAGTAAACGACTTGTGAAGTAAAACATCAAACCCTGACTTTTTCAACAAGCTTTTCAACCATCACTTTATCCTCCCTCAATATGAAGGCAACAACCACATTAAACATGAAGTCAAGTATAGGTTAGTGTTACCATCTATGACACATGAGAACCATCTCACATGCCGAATGAGCACTTGCTTAATAAAACATCAAACAAGGGCAGATATTCATTTAAAATCTTAACTAGTTCTTTCAGCTGAGAGAACAGGAAGTGAAATGACTCCCCTCCAGCTGTGATTCCATTCCCTGTACTACAAATTATTTATTTTTAGAGGGAAAAAAATCTCCATTTATTTCTAACAAGGGCAATGCAGAAGCTAAGGTACTGATCAAGTGTACTTTATACACGGTCAGCACGGAGGCGGAAAAGGATCTTGGAGTCATCATTGACTCCAAGATGAACATGGGCCAGCAGTGTGGGGATGCAGTTAGGAAGGCCAACCGTACCTTGTCATGCATCCACAGATGCATCTCGAGCAGGTCCAGAGAGGTGATCCTCCCCCTCTATGCGGCACTGGTCAGGCTGCAGCTGGAGTACTGCGTCCAGTTCTGGGCGCCGCACTTCAAGAGGGATGTGGACAGCATGGAGAGGGTCCAGAGGAGGCCACTCACATGATCAGGGGACAGCAGGGCAGGCCCTATGAGGAGAGACTATGGGACCTGAACCTGTTCAGCCTCCACAAGAGAAGGCTGAGGGGGATCTAGTGGCCTGTTACAAAC